ATATCTAAAACATATAAAGAATTAAAAATACTGGACATCAAGAAAACAATTAACTTAGTTAAAAATGGAGTATAGATCTAAAGAGAGATCTCCCAAATGATGAAACACATCAATCTCCACTTCAGGATGCCTTCATTCTATAGCCTCCCTTCCCAATTCCTGAGCTCACCGAAAAGAGAAGGATCAGGGAGCTCTATATAAAGTTTAGTTCACATCCCAAGTTTCCTGAAATGAACCAAATCATCCAACTTCTTTTGCCCTAGTATTCTCAAAGGCAGATCCTAAATGGCTTAACTTGGGTTAAGGTGTTCCAAGACCTAGCTATGACTTTAGAGGCAAAGAAAACTGCATAAAGGGGAACCAAGAGGCACCATCTCCTGGTCTCACATCAGGTAACAACTGTTATTGTAATGATTTTAATTCAAACACCAGGAAGATGCTACATAGAAGCCATAGCATGAATGATAGCACTCCATTAATAGGGTTCCTGCTAACTCCAGTTAGGAATAATCCCTATCTTAACCATATTTATAGCTAGAAGACTCAAATAAACTTTACATACAGGAAATCTTCACCAGTCTGACAACTCCAGTTCCCTCAGCCAGTATTTAATTGGTAAGTTACATGTAATATTATCATCTTTCTCATCCTGATCTTACACACTCCTTAAAAGCTGTGTTCAGATACCCATTATGGTTCCTTGTGCTCTCTAAATACTAAACACATCTCAGTGTTGACAACTTGCATGACAAATAATACTAAGAACATTTTTTTCTACCAGTCCTCCTAGTAGTTATGCCTATCATTTCCTTGAACTCACAATCCCTGAAACAATTTAATCCTTGATCTGGTTTATTATTTAACTAAAGAATACATTAGATTTCAGATCAAGTAAGTAAAACCTAGTCATGCTTAATTACAAGAACATAGAAAAGAATCTATTGGCCATACAGGCAGACACTCATAGGATACCAAACTGGACAGAATGTAAAAATGAAGAGATCATGGGGATCTGAACCCCAACATACACCTGTATATCCTACATTAATGGCTCCAGAAATATTGTGGAAGAGTGGACAGAAAGACATTGAGAGCCAGAATACCAGGAAGTGTGCTGTGAAATATTCTCTCCTAGAAATGGCTGCATAAACAAGACCAGAACAATGAATATGTTGGTATGAATGTGGGAAATTTTGAGAGTCCCATTCCTAGACAAAAAATTAGGCTCTATTAGGGACAAGCTCCCTAACTGATCATCCAACACCAAGTGGTCATCCCTTCTGATGTCTATTCCTTATTGTCAATTTGACTAAACGTGGAGTTACCTAAAACCCAAGAGATAAGTGTAGCAACCACTTTGAATCTACAGGAACAAAACTAAATGGATATGAGCACACACACACACACACACACACACACACACACACACACACACACACACACACATGTATATATATATATATATATATATATATATATATATATATATATATATATATATATATAGAGAGAGAGAGAGAGAGAGAGAGAGAGAAGTGGATCAGTCTATAAGGCTGGATGTATCAGCTGGTCTTCAGTATACTTTGAAATCCTCCCAGAAATAGAATCTAATACCAGTGATAAGATGAACTTGCCAGTGAGAATGAGAGCAAAAAGTCAAAGAGCAAAGATGAGAGAGTTTCCTTCTTCCATGTCCTTTATATAGGCTGCCACCAGCTAAGATTTAAGGTAGATTCTCAAACCTCAAAACTTCTGAGTTTAGGTGGGGCTTCTCACTTCAAATGATTCAATCAAGAAAATTGCCTCACAAGGAAAATCAGAGACACTTGGGTTTTAGTTAATCAAATATTTTATTTATTCAGACCTAGTTTCTCGTGTATTGTTGGAGCACAGCTTTGAATTCATTTTGTAGATCAGGCTAGCCTCTAACTCACAGAGATCTGCCTGCCTCTGCCTCCAGAATGCTAGGAGGTATGTGCCACCAGTGCCTGGCTTCCCCAAGTATTTATCAAAAAAAGAAAAAAGAAAAGAACAGGCAGTTGAGTGGGTAGAGAAAAGGATGAAACTCTTAGAAATCGCAGTTGAGGTAAATATGATAAAAATGAGTTGAACAAAATTCTAAAGAATTTTTGAGAATTCTTTAATGTTGATATTTACTAAAATCACAGATTGATATCATTAACTGTGAAATTACAAAAGGAAAAGCAAGAATATAAGCACACCATAAATTATTTAGAAACAGTGAAATATTGTAGTAAAATTACTCTATTTATTTATCTTTTTTAGAAAACTTTTCACTGTATATCCTAGACAGGCCTTGAACTAAAACCCCTCCTGCTTCAGCAGCTCATCCTCTGGGACTCTAAGGATTAAAGGTGTGAGCTACCACACCCAGCTAAGCGTGACCTCAGGAAACCTTGTTGTGGAGATTTGTTTGTGGATACTGGCCATAGAGTTAATTCAATCTTCCATCCATTTAGAATACTGCTATTCACAGGAGCTCACCTACAGCCAGCATTAGTAAAAGCAACATGGGAGGAAGTGGGCGTGGTCTTTAGAGAGTATATAAGGACACTCCAGGGGCCAGCCAGGTTCAGTGTTCTCTATACCAGACAGAGTGAGTCTCCATATCTTGTGGCTCCTAGCCTGCTAGATCTATCTCCTCCACACATTGAGGATCATACCCCAGAGCTGAGCTAATATTGCTGTGTCTCCACAAAACACTGCTGAGGCTGGAGACTATTTCTTGTGTAAGTGCATAGTTTAAGATTGAAAGTAGTTGGTGTTTTCTATTTTAATTTGTTACCAAACTGACGTTTTTGCTTAAAAATGCTTAAAATTTGGCTATTTATCAAAAGAGATTCTGCTCCCATTTGGTCATCTTGCATTTTAAATATATTGTGAGTTATAGGTATAGATAATTGTTGTTTATCCATTCACAGTCTTTCTTTGCTCTGATGTTCCAACTTTCAATTTTGATCTTTCTCTAAATTTTAAGAATATTTATAGAGTATTTCTGTATGTAGTTCATAGATGTGAGATCAACACCTCTAAATTAATTTTACATGTATAATATATAAAATAATTGCTTTGAATAGATTGATAATTACTAGCAGTTAGAGATATATTCTATGAGTATTATGTATAAAAGTGAAAACTCATTATTTAGCAAAGGAAAATATTTTAGTATTTCCCTGTTGTAAACTATAGGGAAACATCACAGTGTGAAATAATGCTTGATAATAGTTTACCATCTTTGAAAAACTGGCTCTTCCTGCTATTGGTTGATTTGCTAGGTTGGAGGTATACATGTGATTAAATTAGAGAAAACTAAACACAATATTCTATTCAGGAAAGTAGATCCTGGTTATAATCTGGTGCAATTTTTTAAATTCTGCATTTAGTTTTCATTATTTCTGTGAATTCATAAATTGTTTTGGAATGATGTATCAGAAGCTCATTTTTTAGTAAATGGGAGGACCTGTATGGCCCTGGCTCCCGTTTTTGGTAACTGTTGGCTTGCTTTCTGACCTTGACCTTGATATCCTCCCTATGTTAATTTCCTGCCAGGATCTACCCTCCTGAATGCTTAAGGGAATTTTCCTGTCTGTATATCCTTCATATTGGGTGTTAACAACTGAGATGCAAGATTGTAAAACATCAGTAGCAACTTCTGACCTCTGGGGTTCTCCCATTGTGCTGTAAGCCTGTATTTTATACAGCATTAGGCATTCAAAAAATGAAGAATCTAATATAGAGAAAAAATTCCAAATAGGGGTGATTAGGTAAGTTAAGGGAGGCAGCATTGGAGTCTCCATCTCTTTTCTAAAATAATCTTGACAATGAGTATTAGTATTACTTTCAAGGTAAATAGGACCACCAGCTAAAGCCATGGAGTCCATTTGCTTCAGACCACTGAAGCTGAAGTTATTTGGGGGATGTTTATCTCACTCAATCTGAATTCTTTATTTGTGTAGACCTTCCAAGAGAAGGAACAATGGGTGCCTGTTGATTTAATAGGAAAGTCTGATAGATTATGACAGCCACATTTATGCCTCAAGGTTCATCCCATAAACTGAAGCCAGGCTCTGTATCTTTGATAAACAAACAAGTTTCCACAGAGAGTACCCTAGAATTCAACTTGATGGGATTTAGGATAGATATGGAAACCTCTGGGGATGTCTGTGAAGGATTATTGGGGGGTAGATTCACTACAGTTGGTAAGATCCACACTAAATGCTCATGAAATCACTTGACCATTCCATGGTTTGAGGTCTCAAACTAAGGAAAAGCTAACAGGAGCTGAGCAGCAAGTGTTCCTTGCTTTCTTCTTGCTGATTTTGGATGCAATGCCACCAGCTCTCTCAAGCTCCTGCCACCATTTCTTCCCCACAATGATGGACATATCCTTGAATTATGAACCCCTGTAATTCTTATTCTTGTTAACTATTTGCATCAGAAAGAAATCAAGTACCTAATGTTGCCTTCAAGTGTCGAGGGGTGGGACAGGAGGATGTGAAGGACTAAGATGCTAAAATCAGAAATTAAGCAAAGCATTTACTAGGGACCATGTGAAATAGGGAGTGTTTTCTTGGATAGCCAACAAAGAAGGGTGTGTTTAACCTACTTATGTCTGTAGTGAAAGGTCAACATGTAGACTTGAAGGAGTTTGATCACTCTGGTGTATATTTATTTATAAACACTTGGAAAGCATGTCTCAGACCAGCAACCAAGACACTAATTTGAAGGGAGTCTCCAAAAAAGATGCAGGTGGAATGGCTCCGAAGGACATCAGATTAATCTACATTTGTGTCACGAAGAGTGAAAGAGGAAAGACCACAACTGCAATCCTATACTTATCTTGATATTTTCTTACTGAAAAATGAAGCCTACTTTGCCATACACAGTATTAAATCACAACTTGCATCAGTTTTTGTGCTGTTTCTGGCTTCTCTGGGGTGGAATAATAGCAATTCTTCTGCTTTTCTTCCTTCAGAAAAATGGAGTCAGACCTCTCACAATCCTTCCAGAAAGAACTCACCTGCTTCATCTGCCTGAGTTGCCTGACAGACCCAGTCACCTTAAGCTGTGGTCACAGCTTCAGTCGAGCCTGCCTCCACCTTTCCAGGGAAGACATCCAACCTCCTGTCCGATGCCCTTTGTTCAGAGAACAATATGGGAAGGAATTGAGAACTAATATTGTTTTGAAGAAGCTGGTGTCCATTGTCAGACAAGCCAGCCTCATGAAGGACCTGAGCTCTGAGGAGCAAAAGTGTGTGACCCACGAGGATACTAAGATGATCTTCTGTGCTGAGAACAGGATCTTCCTCTGTCCACTCTGCTCAAACTCCCATGAGCACAGAGGACACAGACACTGTCCCATTGAAGCAGCTGCTGAGGATCAAATGGTAAGTGATGCTTCTGAGAGAACTTGCAAGCTGGAGAGAGGTAGGCTTAGAAAACCACAGGAAGATGCTGGTCCTCATTATGACAAAGGCACTGTTTTCTGAATGGTGGTACTTTATTAACATCTAATGAATAAAGGGTGACTAGGAATGTAAACATCCTTTGGGATACCCTGAATGTAACAATCATTTGTATTTTATGATACATTATGCCCAGGTCACTGGAAAGTGCAACAATAACTTGCTATTTTTGAAAAGTGTCTATGGCTGGAGACTGAATTAGGAAAAGTACATGGAAGTCAGGTACAGCCAAACATGTAATCAAAATAATTTATCAATATACCTGAGCAAAAGGGTAAGCTGCATTTTCTAATTCTGTGGGCTCATCTAATATTCATAGCTAGAAAAAGAAAAAAATGAACGATAATTTTGATTCTGGTACTCTCACTACAATAATTGTATTAATTGCCCAAGAGTCTGTCAATCAGTAATATTTTTCAAAATTGATATTCATTGTTTTTTTACAGGACAGACTTTTGAAGCAAATGACATCTTTATGGGAGAAGGTCCAAGAAAATCAAAAGATTTTAGAGGCAGAGAACAGAATGAGAACTCTTTGGATGGTGAGTATGAGAACCATGCTTAAAATAAGCCTGATGCAGATATTTTTAAAATTCGCCATAAGGCCTGGGATAGGATGCTTGGAATATGTGTCCTGCTCACCTCTAATTCTGAGTGTATAATACATCTCTGCTCTTGGAATGAATGGTCTGCTTCTGTAGAAGAGTCTGGGTCTAATGAGTGAATTGCTGACTGTTCTGCACACTGTGTTAGACTTTATGACTACACCGTGAATTCTAATTACTACATGTAGAGTTTCATAACTTTGTGAATATATGAATGATCAATCTTTTTTACAGGCACCTCTGCACCTCTAATATAGGTGTAAATGCATCTTAGGGTTGGATTGCCTGTGTAATTAATAAAGAAGAAATAAATGAAACCAAGGCATTTACATTTTCTGAGGTGTGAAGACAGTCAATCTGAGTATATGCATCAGAGTTATACAAAACATTTGTGGAATTTAAGCATAGGAGGATGAAATGATGGAGGACAAAGTACTTTGCAAATATGATTGGGAATGTCTTTTTTTCTTCAGGACTACTTGACTCTTCGGGAAGAAATGATCAGGACAGAGTATAGGAAACTGCATCCACTCCTCTGTGAAGAGGAAGAGAAACACATTGAGTCTATGAGAAATGAAGGCCAATGTGTTTTAGAGAAACTCAGGACAAGTGAAACCATGATGGTCCAAAAGAGAAAAGAACTAAAAGAAATGTACCAGGAGCTGATGGCAATGTCCCAGGAGCCATGTGTGGTTCTGCTGCAGGTGAGCATGGAGGCCCACCGTGGTGATTGTTATACTAAGATAGCTTTCAATATATCCTGCATTTTTTTAGGGAATTTCCTTTTGAGAAATATTCTGGAGAAACAAAATTCTGTAATAATCTTGAAAGAAGAAACTTTTTGAAATTATGTCCATAGATTCTTCAGGGATTATGTCCTAACTTTTGGCTTTTGTGCCTTGCTTTTCTGATAACTGAAATTAAGTGATTTCTCTTTCCAGCATTCTTTACCTCTGCTTATATATTGTGTACAATATTAAAGTAACCTATGGCTTAACCTTCTGTTTGAGGGCGGTGTTTTTGAGAGTCCTTTAGGAGGTTGGCATTTTGAGAAAGGATCCTATTTGGTAGTACATGATACCTTGCAACTCACAGTAATGCTCAGGCTTCTAATCATGCAATTCTGAAATACACAAGTGAAGCACCATGCAGGGGTGAGGCCACCCTTTTAAAGTATCCTTAGCTAAAGTATCCCTATGGCTTGTAGAGAAGCTCAGGGAAAGTTACCTTTGTAGACAGGTGGGGGTTCAAAAGCAATGTACAGTCCATACCCTTGTCCTTCTGAAATTACTCTTTAGTCTGATTCCATCAATAATTTGAGTTCTGCTAATCTATTTGGTTGGCATCATCTTAAGAAATGAATATAATTTACCAGGATAGATTGGTGTGATGTTGACTGGCATTTATATGAACTTTAGAAACTAACATTGCATTTCATTTCTTCAGATATCTAAGTTTTTCTTGTTTTCTTTGCAGGGTTTGGACGACATGTTCAGAAGGTGAGTTTAGCCATCAGTGCAAGTCCGGATACCCAAAAATATGCTATAAAATTGTCCAAGTTGCCTTAGGAAGTGCAGATGTCTTTTATATAGAAAATACTCAATTGTTTTAGTGTGATATTTTTGGGATTCTTTTATTTGTTTTGTTATTTTTATGTGTGTGTGAGTTTGTGTGCATGTACTTGCACATGTGTGCAGGTCAGAGGACATCTTTCTCCTTCCATCAAGGGTTCCAAGGATTGAACTCAAGTTGTCAGGCTTCTGTAAACTGAGGTGTTTGGCTGAACTTGGAATGAAGTTTTTCCTAATCAGAGTGTGATATCTTTAGCACCACGGAGGTCAATATTTTCTTTTCCTTGCAGAAGTGAGTCAATGCAGCTGAGCATGCCGCAGCCTATTAAGACAGAACTCAATGCCCTACCCATCACTGGACTGACCAAAAGTTACAACCAGTTCCAAGGTGAGTGTCTCCACTGATAAAATGACCAGAGCTAACCTTCAATAATGAAATAACCTTTGCAAATGCAATATTTTAACTCCCCAGAAATATGTCTAGGTAAGTCACATTGTATTGTTATTGAATCCCATGGTCATCTTACAAACAAACCAACAAACAGAAATAGATACTAATATCATGTTGTAGGTAATAGTGCCTGAAAAGAGACTATCATTTGTTCATTGAGTAGAATGGTTATTTCACTCTGGACAGTATAATTCAAAGGAAGTGTAGCCAGTGATGGAGATATTTGATTATTTTCTTTTCAATGTGTTAGAAATTAATTTCTTACATTGCATTTTACTCCATAAATTAAAAAATACACAAGATAAAGATGTTCACACTATTAATCCCAGCATCAAAAACCTAGTGTGTGGAGGACTGCCAATGAGTTTGAGGAGAGTCTGGTCAACATATTGAGTTCTATGCCAGTCTAGGACAAATAGAAAGACCCTATCACCAAAGGAACAAAAAAAATCATAAAATAACTAAACAGACAAAGCCATGTATCATGAGCAATGAAAATGAAACAAATTGATAGGACATGAGGCATTGTCTAAATTCTCCTTGTAGATCTAAAAGTCAATTGTAACCTCACAGGGAAAGAGTATCAGATGAACCAGAGGTTAAAGGAGGACAGATACATTCAGGAATCCACTTCTAGAGCATATTTAGATTCTCCTTGAGTACAAATATGCTCAGTTAGATGCAAATGAAAACACCAATATGAAAGTTATCACTACTTATATCTACATAAAAATAACTTTTCATGTAGATCCATGAGCACAGCCTTTGCTCTGGCCCTTGCTGCAATGCACACATCTTCCCTTAGGCAGGTGTAATTTAAAGTCTTTTCAGCATGCTACCACTCTTTTCTTGTGGAAATCCTTGACATTGGTGTATTTGAGCCAAATTTAACCTCAGGTCTTATCCTTCTCTTTTTAAAATCTCGAATAATCTATGGACCTCTCCTACCTGAGAAATGTAAATGGTCATTTTACCTAAATGTTGTTTCTTCCCACAGTGTGCATTCCCTTACCAAACATAACAATGATCCATCACAAGATAAACCTGTTTAATGCCATGAGAAGATTGAGCTTCAGACCTCACCATAAAGATACATCTGGGGATTATGCTGGATGCTATTCTGCTACCTGGAGATCACAGAGCTTCATCTTAGGGAAATATTACTGGGAGATTGATTTGAAGGACTCTTGGGACTGGGCTGTAGGGGTCTGTAAGGATTCCTTGTTAAGGAATAGAAACCAAGTGATTGAACCTGAAGGTGTCTTTCTTCTTGTGTGTGTGAAGGAGGGTAATGATTACAGTCTCCTCACCACATGCCCAGTATTTCAGCACTATATAGAGAAGCCACTGGGCCGAGTTGGTGTGTTCCTTGATTGTGAGGATGGAAGTTTAAGTTTTGTGAATGTTGCCAAGAGTTCCCTCATACACAAGTACCCTTCTGGCACCTTCAAAAACCCTGTCTGGCCTTACTTCTCCACGGGAAAATCTGAAATCCAGTACCATAGTGATATTTATGTATTCTCTACTGTAATGTTACTTTCGTTATTGCTATTAAATATTCAAATACTATTAAATGAAAAAAATTGTAGACTATATTACCTTTTATCCTGTAGTCCACATATTCCATATAGTAACCTTATTTTCATAGTGAGTTTTGTTTGCTTGTTTTTGTGTACTTGACATTAAATAATTATGCTTAGATACTAAGAGAGCAGTCTTAGAGATTCAGGCTCTGTTTGGCTGTTAAAGCCCCTTTTAAGTGTACTCAGGACCCTCAGCTGCATTCTAGCACCATAAAAATATGCTCTACCTTTGGGATTCCACTTAATGGTGTCAAGCTGGAGCACAGGTATGTATAGTGCTCACTACTAATTTAATGTGAATTTAAACAGACTCTTTTGGTGTTTTGAGACATGGTTTCTCTGTACAGCTTGGGCTGTCCTCTGCATTTCAGGTGCTGGGATTAAAAGCTTGCACCACCAACACCTGAGAGAAACATCCTTCTCTCTTTCCTTTCTTTCTTCCATTCTCTCTTCTTTCTTTCTTCCTTTCTTCCTATCCTTTTTTTGTTTTTTGAGACAAAATTTTTGAAACTTTGCTTATGCTTGACAAGGCTATGGAGGCTACTGGTCTTGAAGTCTCAGACATGCCTCTGCCTCTGCTTCCCCAGTGGTTTGATTAAAGGCTTGTTTTACCACTACAGAAAGATGCCATTCTTTTATCTATCTATCTATCTATCTATCTATCTATCTATCTATCTATCTATCTATCTATCTATTTGTTATTTATTTATTTATGTTTGGTGAAGGGTGGGGTTCAAGACTAGGTTTCTTTCTGTAATCTTGACTGTCCCAAAATTTCAATGTAGATGAGGTTGGCCTCAGAGTCACAGAGATCTGTCTGCTCTACTTCCTTTGTGCTAAGATTAATGGAGTGCAAGTCCACCCTCAGGCCAGAATTCTTCAGACATCTTGAAACGACAATTCTCAGATTTATATGGAAATACAAAAAAAGAACAAAACAAAAAACAAAAAATTCCAATGACAACAAAAATGTCAAAAAAATAGAAAAGCTGAAGCAATTTTGAATAATAAAACAACTGCTGGATCCATCACCCTCTCCGTTTTCAAATTGTACTACAGAGCTCTAATAATAAAAATAATTTGATGTCATAAAAATAAATGTATTGATCAATGAAAGCAAATTAAAGCTTCACACATCAATTCATAAATTCATACACGTATGAATTCATGATATTTTTATTTTTAAAGTGAAAAATACACACTAAAGTGAAGACAACATCTTTAATAAATGTACCAGGTCAAAATAGATGGCATCATGTAGAAGACTCCAATACATCAATTTTTATCACTCTGTACAGAATTCAACTCTAAATAGATCAAGTACCTCAGCAAAATATTTTGAATATGACAGAAGAGAAAGCAAAGATTAGCCTTAAACTCACTTGGAACAGGAAATGCCTTCTGAACAGAACACTAATCGCTCAGGCACTAAGAACAACAATTAATAAATAGGACCTTATGGAACTGAAAAGCTTCTGTTTTGCATAGAACGCCATCATTGGGACAAAGCGGCAGCCCACGGAATAGGAAAAGAAGTTTAACTACTACACAGCCAACAAAGAGCTACTATGTAAATATATATAAAGAACTAAAAAAAGCTGGACATCAAGAAAATAATTAACCCAGTTAAAAATGGAGTATAGATCTAAACAGAATTCCCAAAGGAGGAAACACATCAAACATCACTTCAGGATGCCTTCATCACAAGCCTCCTTTCCTAATCCTGAGCCTACCAAAGAGAAGGATCAGGGAGCTCGACATAAAGCTTAGTTCACACCCCAAAGGTTTCCTTAAATGAAGCAAATCATCCAACTTCTTCTGCCCTGGTATTATCAAAGGCAGATTCTAAATGGCTTCTATGACCTACTCAACTAGGGTTAAGGCTATGACTTTAGAGAAAGAGAAATTTGCTTAAAGGGAAGTGAAGAGCTCCATCTCTTGGTCTCCTATTGGGTAGCACCTGTTACTGTAGTGATTTTAACTCAAACACCAGGAAGATGCCACAAAGAAGCCACAGCATAAATGATAGCAAAGGTCATGACCCCATCAATAGGATTCATGCTAATTCCAGTTAGGAATAATCAATATCTGAACTGTATTTATAGCTAGAAAACTAAATAAACTTTACATACAAGAAATCTTCACCAGTCTGACAACACCAGTTCCCTCACCCAGGATTTAACGAGTTACTTACATGTAATATTATCGTCTTTCTCATCATCATTTTACACACACCTTGGAAGCTGTGTTAAGATATCCATTATGGTTCCTTGTCCTCTCTAAATACTGAACACATTTCAATGATATGACAAATAATACTAAGCACATTTTTCTTGCCACTCTTCTTAGTAGTTATTCCTATCATTGCATAACCTCACAATCCCTGAAATAATGTATCCTTGATTTGGTTTACTATTAAACAGAACAACACATTAGATTTCAGATCAAGCAAGAAAGACCTTGGCATGCTTTTTTACAACAACATAGAAAAGAACTGATCAGCCATACAGGCAGACACTCACAGAATACCACAACTGGACAGAATTTAAAAATCAAGAGATCATAGGGATCTGAATCCCAACAGATACCTTTATATCCTACATCAATGGCTCCAGAAATACTGTGAAAGTGGGCTCAAAAAGATAGTGAGAGTCAGATGACCAGGAAGTGTGCTGTGAAACAGTCTCTCCTAGAAATGGCTGCACAAACCAGAGCAGAACAATGAATATGTTGATATGAATGGGGGAAATCTTGAAAGAATCCCATGTCTAGACACAGAATTAGCCTCTATGAGTGATGAGCTCCCTAAAGGTTCACTTAATACAAAGTGATCATCCCTTGTGAGGGCTATTTTTGATTGTCAATTTGATTACATCTGGAATTAACTAAAACCCAAGAGGCTGTGATTTTTTTTCTTGGTAGGGATTTTTCTTGATTGAGTCTTTTAAAGTGGGAAGACTGACCAAAACCTGGATCTTCTGGAGTGTTCAGATCACCTTACATCCTGCTCACATGGTCTACTGGCAGCCTATATAAAAAGGACCTGTAAGAAGGAAAGGGAGGAGAAAGTGGTCCAATTTTATTTCACCTAAAAACATATTGGAGATAAGAAAACCACACAGCATCCAGGAGCAAAGCAATCTACAGCACTTGACTGAGATCCAGAAGGTTATTTGATATTTCATGTCTAGAGCATTTCACATAGTTTTCTGTGTGGTTACTGTGATCTCAAGACCCTGGGAAGCAAGGCATCTTTTGCCTCTATTGTCAACCACAAAAAGTTGAAAATGAAATAGAATGAGATTAGTGAAATTTTTTTTTAAGACAGCAAGTTGAGTGAGTAGGAAAAGTGGATGGATCTGGAAGGAGTTGCAGTTCAGATGTATATGCTCAAAACTAGTTGTACAAAATATTTTAAAAAAACTAGTAAGGATTTTTTAATGTTGGTATTGCTAAAATCACAGATTGATGACATCATTTGATAAATTATCTAGAGTAAAATACAAGCACACTGCAAAATACTAAGCACAGAACAATAGTTTTTAATTGTTATTTTTTAGTCTTTTTAAAAATGATTTTTTTATTTTACGTGCTGACCTAAGTGTCCACTGCCTCCTTTCCTCCCATTCCCTCCTCCCACTGCTTTCTGCCCACCCAAAATCTACTCCTGTCTGGTTCTGTTCAGAAAAAGAAAGGCCTCCCTTGGGTATCAATAAAGCATGGCATACCAAGTTTCAAATAAGACTAAGAATCTCCCCTTGTATTAAGGCTGGGCAAGGCAACACAGTATGAGGAACAGATTACCAAGAGCCACCAAGAGCATTGTGGAAGCCTCTGCTCCCATTTTTATGAGTCCCAGAAATAGACCAAGCTACACAACTATCTATTTTGAGAGAACTTAAGTCAGTCCCATGCTCATAGGCTCCCTGTCTGTTGGTTCCTATGAGCCAGGTGAGTTGTTTCTGTGGGTTTTCTTTTGATGTACTTGACCCCTCTGGCTCTTACAATCCTTCTTCCCTGTCTTCAGCAGGATTTAGAGAGCTCTGTCTAATGTTTGGCCATAGATCTCTGTATCT